CTAAGATTAGGTCTCCGGCATAAAACTCATCAGACGAAACGTGGAATTGCTCCCACTTCACGCCTGTCTTCTGTGTCGTGGTATTACACCGGGCGAGACGACCCATTCAAAATGTATGAATATGTAGTTTTCATTTTAAATATTTAATAAATTTCATTATTTTACATGACATCTGCAACGTTCTTACTATAGAGGAAAACATAGGGATGTCTGCACAAATCGGAGAAGATATTCAAAGATATGTGTGAAGTCTACCCGCAGCGGATGAGAGTTAACTATGGCCTAGTCATCTTTAACTCATGGTAAGAGAGGGAGAGAGAGAGAGAGGTGATGTTTTTAATTGTTTAAAAAGTTATTAAAAAAAGTTATGGTCTCTTCGAAAAACTCATGCAGTTGTAATGTAGTGTAGATAATCTTCAATTGTAAATTTATAATAAAAATTCTGACCGAAAAAAGTCTTTTGGCATTATTCCCAAATATTTGGAGGTTAGGTTTTATGTATTTTAATTCATTTATCTTATGCTGACTGTGATCTCGTCTTTGGGTACTAGGATAAAAGCTTTTGCTTACTTTGGGATCCGTAGAATGTTAGTACATGTTTTAATGTTTCGGTTCTCGCACGCACATTATAATTACAACATTCTAGGTATCCACCACGGCTTCGACCTGATGGTAAATGGTTAACTAAATTATAGAAAATCCACAGAAAATATAGCCTATGAAATTCAGTGAAAATTTAGCTTTCAAATAGCGAAAGAATTAAAAAAAAATACAAATCATTCTTATTTGTAATGTTGTTGACTCCGCACGCGTGGCATTAAAAAAACAAAAGCAAGTAGCCTATGTATTCTTCCAGACTATCCTCTACATCTATGCCAAATTTCATCGAGATCTGTTCAGCAATTTAGGCTACAAACTCTAATAAACATCGATCTAAACATTCGCATTTATAACATTAGTAAGATAAAATATATACAAGTGTAACACTAATTTTAATTCTACTTTTAATATTCTTTGTTCTATATTCATATAAGTTATTATACTCGCTATTAAAAAGTGATTTTGATATTGCATTAGTGTATTTGTTTCGTGATCTACAGTTTGCGCTATTCCAGGGGTAGCGGACCTCTGGCACGCGTACCATAAATGGCACACATCATATTTTGGGCACGTCTCTTATACAAATACTACGAAAAAAATAATCAAATAAGTGCACCATGGAAATGACGTAAAAACAACATTCGGTGTCTAAGACACATTGAACTTTTTTTAATGGTATTTTTTTTATTTTAAATCAACACCTACAGACTCTTGATACGTACAATTTTTTGCACAGTTTATATCTTATTCTTTCTTGTTGCATAATCTTTGTGCTTACATTAGTGAGTTTTTTTTACCATTATTTTATCAATAAATTTTATTGGTTTAATTTTGTTAGAGTTTGTAGCCTAAACGGCTGAACGGATTTCGATTAAATTTGGTATAGATGTAGAGGATAATAAGGAAGAACACATAGGCTATTCACTTTTTTTTTTTAATTCCACACTGACGGAGTCGCGGACGAAAGCTAATAAATAATAAATGTTTGCCACCCCTGTCCTAGGCCATGACTTTTATCGCTTGCGGTAAATTTCTGTATTATGCAGTAATACAATCGATTTTTAGTCATGCATTCGTTTGGCTGTAGTCGCTTAGTGTTTCTCTATTCTACGAAATAAGGTTATTTACTTAAAACATTTTCAAAACGTAAGTTAAAATTTTCATTCAACTTTCACCCGTTACTTCGTTCGCGTGGTATAAAAAAAACAAAAGTGAGTAGCCCATGTGTTCTTCCAGACTATTCTCTACATCTATACCAAATTTCATCTAGATTCGTTCAGTCGTTTAGGCTACAAACTCCAACAAACATCCATCTTAACTTTCGTATTTATATGTATAAATGAAGTTATGATTACAGTAGTAAACATCATTTGTTTTACCCCAAAAATGTAGATAAACACATATTATATGGTGTCGCTTCTGATTTTATAACAAGTATGCATTACTACGCTGATTCCGTTATAAATACTTCATTATTACAAGGTTAAAAACGCATCTCACAAGCCTATAAATTTTTTCTTATAGTAAGGGTTTTTATGTTTGAACAATCATTCAAAATTAGTCAAGCTGTTCATTTGTTTTCTCGTAAAAAATCATAATTCAAATATCGAACCATAAGAAGAACGGCAACCAGCATGCGAGGAACGCCGACATGATGATTCCAAGAGTCCTGGCCGCTTTTCTCTCTCGCTTCATCTTACTGCTCGCCATAGGCTGCATCTGTATGCTCTGTCTCTCTCTCATGACGTCACCCATCGAGATGCCGTTGATCTGGAGATGCTTGTCCAGGAGTAGAGCTGCTACTTTACTCCTAAAAAGAATGTAATGCTATAAATAGGGTTGACACTGATGTTAAAATTGACAGTACGTTTGAAATAAGAATGTGTTACTGCGCCGTATTGTGACGTCATAACTCTTATAAAAAGGCAGGGTTGCCAAAACATGACGTGAGAATCTATAACTTAAATATTTACATAGTTCTTTTAGTTATAATATGTTGGTTTTCAATGATTTTTTGACATATCGAAGTCATTCACGTGTACATTCTTATTTGAAAGCATAGTAAT